ACTGTATATACTCATCTATAAGTCTAGAAATTTTAGTCAAAAATTGACTCCAAAAAGCTGGGTCGACTTATCTATGGGTCAATATAAGTACTGTATTTTAACTCTTCCCCTTCTCTGAGCAGAGTGGCAAAAGGCAAGGGCTTACTCCATCCTGGGGGCACCCAAAAGAAGCACCTACCCCCTCTGCTCTTTCCACCAGGATGCCACTTCTGCACTTTTTGAATACTTGGGTGAAAAATGACAGTGATGGCACCTCTCTGGTGCTTCCTCTCAAAGGAGTGCCAAGAGGAATTGGACTTAGAAGGATCTGAATAAGATATTTCTATATAAGGACAGTAAGCCGTGTTATTTACATCTTTTGCTACATGCTCCTAAGTTTTATCCTCGACTTATCTTCGGGTCATATCAAAATCCATAAATTTGGCCCCAAAACCTGCCCTCAACTCATGCGTGAGGTTGACTTATAGTCGGGTATATACGGAACATCTTTAAACAGAGGCTGGATGGCCATCTGTCAGGGGTGCTTTGATTGTGAGTTCCTGCATGTTAGAATGGAGTTGGATTGGATGGCCCTTGGGGTCTCTCCCAATTCTATGGTTCTAGGTCTTTCACCAAACTACAAGTCCCAGGTTTCTAGAGAATGGAGCTGTGACAGGTCTCAAAGTGCTATTACTGCTTTGGAGGAGTCATACACTCTCAGCCTCAGAGGAATGCAAGGGCAGTCATCACCACACCTCAAACAAATCCTGCTGTTTCTATATCTCACCAACTCATCCCTATCCTTGCCAAAGGTGCACTTTCATAGCCTCGCCTAGTGTTCCTCCTCTTATTTCCCTAAACGAATTTTCTTTTAAGCTGGGCTCCATTCCTTTGGCTGCATCCACACTGCAGAAATAATCCAGTTCAACACTGCTTTAACTGCCATGCCTCAAGGCTCTGGAATTCTGGGAATGGTAGTTTGCTATTGTGGCACCAGAGCTCTCTGACAAGAGAAAGATGAACGTCTCTCTCGCTTTGCTTTGTGTGCCTTTAAAAGCAGACCCTAAGGACGAACCTATCCTGGCGTTTTCTTGGCAAGGTTTATTCAGTGGAGGCTTGCCATGGCCTTCCTCTGAGGCTGAGAGAGTGTGACTTTCCCAAGGTCACTCAGTGGCTTTCCATCACCAAGCTGGGAATTGAACCCTGGTCTCCAGGGTTGTTGTAGTCCAACACAAAAGTACCATTCCCAGAATTCCACAGCTTTAAGCCGTGGCAGTTAAAGTGGTGTCAACATAGGTTAGTTCTGCAGTGTGGAGGCAGACTTTAAACACTCTCTCTCTCCCTTTTTCCTGGTGTTTGTCTGAGTCAGGTTCTGCCAAGGTCCAAAACACACTGCAGAAATAATCCAGTTTGAGACCGCTTTAACTGCCGTGGCTCAGTGCTAAGGAATCCTGGGAACTGTAACTTTGTGAGCCATTTAGCCTCTGTCAGAGAGCTCTGGTGCCACAATAAACTACAATTCCCAGGGTGCTTTAGCATTGAACCAGGACAATTAAAGCAGCCTCAAACTGGATTATTCTGAGTGTGTTTTGGACCTTATTTGGTCATCTCCTCCATTTTTCTCGAATGTCCTCCATTTTGCAGGGCCTTGTCCTCCTTTATGGTGGGGACATCTGGCCACTCTGGGCTGAGAGCAAGAGGTAGAAAGCCAGCAACTGGGGTGCTTCCTCAGCCCACGTACCTTCAAGGCCAGGGTGACAAGAAGGTTCCAAAACACACTGCAGAAATAATCCGATTTGAGATTACTTTAACTGCCTTGGCTCAGTGCTACTAGGGAATCCTGGGAATTGTAGTTTGTTGTGGCACCAGAGCGCTCTCTGTCAGAGAAGGCTCAATGTCTCACAAAACTACAGTTCCCATAATTCCCTAGCATTGAGCCAGGGCAGTTAAAGCAGTCTTGAACTGGATTATTTCTATAGGTTTTTGTGGGGTTTTTTGGGCTGTGAGGCCGTGTTCTTGAGAATGTATTCCTGATATTTTGCCTGTATCTGTGGCTGGCATCTTCAGAGTATGGTGGCATGGAGGTGTGTGGGGTATATATACTGTGTGACCCTCGGTTGAGAGGATTAGCTTTTAAATCTGTGTATTGTTCTGCTGAGGCAAGGCCTCAGGGTGGGAGGATATGCGAGGAGGATTAGTGTCTATTTAATTAATGGTCCATTGTCTGCCAGCCACAGATGCAGACGAAACATCAGGAATACATTCTTCAAGAACATGGCCTCACAGCCCAAAACCCCCCACAAAAACCTATGGATGCCAGCCATGAAACCCTTCGACTTTACATGGATAATTTCTGCTTATTTCTGTGCCTCCTCTCAGCTCCACCGTGCCGTTTTTAGGACCT